TTGGGAATCGATTTAGTGGGTTGGCACAAAGTTGAAAAAATAGCTGAAAAATTAGTCTGAAAATATATTATACAGTTATACGGCAAACTGTAAGAAATTGTTGTATTTTTAAACGTGAATAACTTTTTAATTATTGAAGTTACAAAAATAATTTTTACATATTTATATATCATTTAATAAGCTTATTTTATTTTTTTAATTTCACCAACTTATATTGACAATTTGTTATCCCTTGACATCGTGTTTAATTTACTAAATACCGGCAAATAATTCTTACAATACTAAACAATAAACAGTGTCCAATAAACTCGTTAATTATTTTGCAAAATGCCTATCGTATGAACCCTTATGTGAGATTTGAGTGAAAAGTTTCAATGAGAGAATCCTATGTAGTTTTCGATGAGATTATAACATATTATAACTTTTGTTTCTTATCAATCAATTCAGTAGTTTGTAAAGATTAATAAATATTTTTTAGTAAGGCGTCATTCACAAAGTACATACGCAAAATTTTGGTCAAAAATTGACCCCCCTCCCCCTACACGCCCATCGTACATAGGAGTTTAACATGGGAACATACGCTTTGGCATGACCCCCCTCCCCCCTAGGCGTGCGTACGTACTTTGTGAATCACGCCTAACATAAATTGTAAGTTACCTGTATGAAAACAATAGGAACAAAGTATCAAACATGCGCTGACATAAGCTCAGGTATGTCAGTACAGGTATTTGTAATATAATCAACTCATTGTATAAACTTTATAATAACGTTTTACTAGCATTTCTTGTTGCAAAACAAATTGCTTTTTTAAATCTCTTATAAAGGTTAGTTTTTAGATAGGTTTTGGTTACTACGAGAAACTAATCGATAATACTTTGTAAGGTAATATTTAAGTTACCTTAAAGGTTAACAATATTTTTGTACGCATTTACAATGTATAATTTTATTGTAATTTTTAAAATAAAGTGAATAAGGTTTTTTGTATTTTTATATACTAGTACTTCTATAAATATTCAACTTTATAATGAGTAATAGAAAATATGTAAATTATATAAATTATTAAAAATAAATTTTCAATGGCAAAAAAGTTTTCACATTCAAGTGATCAAGACAATAATAATTTTGTAGTGTTTACAAGTAAATATAAAATAATTGAAACAATTGGACATGGTGGTTTTGGCGAAGTTTTCAAAGCGGCCGATAATTTGGGAAACATATTTGCTATTAAAAAGATTTTAAATGAAAGTAAATAGATAATATTGTATATATTTGTGACAGGTTTATACGAATTAATGACAATCAAAGTTACTTTTAATCGATATTTTATCTTCGATTAACAGTCATTCGATTGTCATTATTTCGTATAAACCTGTCACATTTATAAAAATAAAACCGGACATTTTTAATAGATGTACGTAAAAGTGAGTTGACAATTTTATCATCGTTAAACCATGAATGTATCATAAAGTACTATGACAACTGGACCGATAATAATTTCACATACATTCGTATGGGCTATTGTGCATACGATTTGAAAAAGATTTTCCAACTTAAAACTACCACACTAAATGAATCTTGTTTTAAGTTTGTTGATTTTTATATATCATACGAAATATGCAATGAATTAATATTAGGCCTGGAATATTTGCATAATTTATCAACACCAATTGTACATCGCGATTTAAAGCCGTCAAATGTTTTGTTTAATGAGCATGCTACAAATATGTATTGTAAAATTTGTGACTTCGGACTAGCATTCGCGTTTTATGATGATGAGACTAAGACACAAACTAAGGGTGCAGGTACATTTCAGTATATCAGCCCCGAAGCAGCAACTGGGAAGTTTAGTACAAAATCAGACATTTTTAGCCTGGGTGTAATATTTAAGGAATTATTTGGTCTTGATGTGTAAGTATTTACAATACATAGTTCATTTTAGATTATATTTTACAGTATTTGGGCCAGGAATTTTCAGAACGACTACCATTAATATTATACATATATATAGCTATACTGTATATGGCTAGGTATTTAGTAATTAAAATATGTGCATGTTTACTTACATGCATTTAATATTTTCGTGGGTTTGGTTTCAAGAATGACATTCTGGAAACACCTGGCTTATTTATAATAATGTTACAAAATAAAATTCATTAAATAATTTTATAGTTAGGTTTATATTATTTTTATTTAGGTCAAAAGATTTCACCATGGATATCAAAGAATTATCAATAATCAACTCATTAGTTTCGGACATGGTGGAATACAGAAAATCGATGAGACCAACTGCTACTGAGATTAAATTTCGTATGAGCCAGATTAGTTCCGATATTAAACAAATCGTCGATAAATCTATACTCGGATTATATGAGAAATCTGTCAATGACGTTGGTAAATTATTGTTTAAGTTTGTTAACACAAAACTTAAATCCAACGGACACAATTATGAACAAAGAATCAAACAAAATGATGTTGCAATACATCTAAATAGAAATGATTATTCGAAAAATATATCCGAATTAACAAGCAACGATATCCCACATGAAAATTCAATTGTGGCATGTACTTCTAATAATGATTTAATATCAACAATATCAACCAATATCACAGAAGTGGGTAATAAATATGTACAAGATGTAACAAAGGAACTGTCAAATGAAACGACCAATTTAGAATTTAAACATAATGCATCGGACAACCTGGTAGGTTATTAATATATTGATCGATATAATATAATGTATCATAACTACACTAATAACAAAACTGTACCATGTCAATAGAAAGTATTACACAAACTTGACTACACAACTATAAAATTGCCACTGATAATTTATGAGAAAAAATTAATGGATATTTTTTCGATCATCATTAACAATACGCATGATAAAATTGTTAAAAATTTACTGCCTTAAAATTTAGTGAAAATTTGCAAATCTATAATTAGAATATATTAATGAATCAGTAATTAAGGCACAAAAAGTTCTTGAGTGATTTTTACCACTGCAATGAAGTTCAATGCTAACTACTAGAGTTGCCAAATTTATACTTGAACTTCAACTACTTGTTTAGCGCTTCCCATTTTGGAGTATTGGAGTATTACTCACGCTCCCCTACAACCGTGGTTCTCGATTAATGATGGGTTTTGCTGAACTGGCCCTTATTTCGTGGCCCTTGGCCCACCACTACAGGAAAGCCAACCTAACCAAACTTAACTTAATTACACTAGAAGTTGGTTTGTTTCACTGCAAGACTGGGTAGGCTTCACTGCAATGCCTGTTAAGTATGATAGGTTAGGTTAGGTAGGCTTCCCTGTAATAGTGGGCCAATGGGCTAAGGGCCACGAAATAGGGGCCAGTTCAGCAATACCCATTAATGATTAACCTTTTAAATTTAAATCCAAGAATAATGTTCACTATTTTTAACCGCGATTCTGGAAGAAAAAATGTCCTGGCTCAAATGTCCCAAATTTCCCATATAAATCCAATGGGATATTTGCTTATGTTAGGTAAGGTTAGGTAGAATTTGATTGGTTTAGGTCAGGGAGATAAATTTTAATTTATCTTCCTGTGTGTCGTAGGTCGTTCCATAGCATAAATCTAACAATACCTATGTTATCATACCATAGGTATTGTAAATTGGTACGCAGACCATTGTCTATTTATCTACCACTTTAATAAAATATTACTAAATTTAATTGTGGTGGTGTTGGTTAAGGTTGGGTAGGGTAGGGTAGGGTAGGGTTAGTTCAGGGAGTTCTGTTTTATTTATCTACCTGGACCCAGTAAGTCGTTCCATAGCATACCTCTAACAAAATATATGTAACAAAAGAAAATATATTTAATAGGTTTTATTAATTTATGATGAATTCTAGAATCGTGGTTAGGCATCGAATTGCCTGTCAATCCTTGTTTATATTACGTATTTATACCACACTAATTAAGTACCACAATATTAATTTTTAAAAATAAATCTCTTATTTTATTAGAACAGTATACCCGTTGTACATTATATTAACATTTTATTTCAGTGTGAAATGATAGGAGACATTAAACCAGTTATCAAATGGATATTTCATGTTGCCCGGATGGTATGTATATATATTAACTTAAAATTAATAATATTTATTTCAAATACTCAGAATAATTATGATTAATTTACTTACACTATTGCCATTTTGCCATTGCCATTGAAATATAATACATATTAATAATTAATTGCCTGTTTATACGTATTTACATATAATATTGAGTATAGGCGCGACATTGTATTTTCATTTATATACAGTATTGTAATTAGCACATATCTACTAATAAGACTTCACTAAGGATTTTCTTACAAAAAATTATTGAATTAGCTTGAAATATTATTTATTAACATGTATATTTAAATGAAATTGTTTTTATAATTTTCTACTATACAATTTGTATTCTATTTTAAAGGTGACGGGTATTGCGCTAAGCGTACTAGGGGGATATCAACATGCTTATGATAATCTGTCTGGAAGTATTGCTGCTTACTGTGGTGCTTTGCTATATTTGGTAGTAATTATCGATCGATGTGTTGTCAAACAACTTGTATGCATACCTTAATTTTCAAAATAAATTATTTTTATGAATCTAATTATAACATAGTAATCAAAACATTGAAATGGGTATACAATATAACACCTACATATAAATAATTTTCTGGTGTTGAATGCATAACAAAAAATATTTGATATTTTATACTCATTTCAGTATTCTGTTTATTAAGACGGAAATAATATTATACTTAATTTTTATAATATTAGTTAAACTTTTCATTTCAGACCGCAACCGCAACTAAGATATTAGCAACCTTTCACTTTATGTTGCTAATATTTGAAATAGTGATGATGTATCTATGTTTAACTAGATTAAAAGTCGACGTGAGTGTGGATTATTTTATTTTAACACTATTTTTATTTAATTGCTTTATTAATAGCTGCCCATGTTCATAATTTCATAAATCCCATGTATAAAATTATAAATATATTCAATTCTTACACAGAAATTAAGCATGATAAAATAATACAGACTAATTAGTCAAGAAATATTTGTCTGCATTAAGAACTATAATATATGTAAATATATTAATTTTTTGTAATTAAAATTTTAAAATTACCATCTAGGCATACGAATTATACTTTGGTATCGTGGGTTCGTTGGCCATCGTATTTCAAATTATTAGTATCATTCTCTATTTATGTTTTAAATGATTATGAGGATCCTATTTTGTATTCAGTAGGACGATCGTACTTTCGACAAAAATAACATGACAGTATCACCACGTTTAAACTGCCTTACTTACCGAGATGATTATTTTACATTTTTAACATATGACACATAGTTGGATCAGGGTTTTGCGTTTAGTCCATTTTCTTATGGGAACCTTTCTTAAATAACATGTTCAATGGCTTGTTTAATGTAGTGTGAAGCTTTAATATTTTAATATATCCGTGCTACCGCAATCTGAATTCAAAGGTTCAAGATTATGTTTTTAATTGGACTACCCTTATAGTATGGTAATCAACAAAAAAGGTTATAAAGTTATTTTATGCCACAAGCCCAAAATTCTAGTATATAAAAATACTATTCATATATTAATTATACAGTAGTTAAAGTGAAATATTATTAAATCGCTTTTAAATAAATTATAAATGTAAATTTTTGGAAAATTAATTTACAAAATTATATAATTTTAAAAAATAAATTAACAAATTAATTAAATTTTTATATAAATATAAAATAATCATTAACATAATTCAATAACACATGTACTGGTATTTGGCTCTAATATCACGATTTGTTTTCCGTTAATAACAAGTGATTTAATTTTAGCACATTTTCCCATAAAATCCTCGAAATACTTATCCTGAAACTTTTGTTTCTTATCAATCAATTCAATGGTTTGTATTTTCCTAAGCATTGCCAATGAATCCAATACCCCATCAGTGATGATAATATTTTCCACTTTCAATGACTGAATGTTTGGCACATTTGTGGCCATATCTGCGAAAAAGTGGTCGTTTGGCGGAAATACTCGCAAATCGAGTGTTAAATGTGTTAACCGTTTGAAAGCAACGATTGAATGACAGAAACGACCGCTAATTTCCAAACGCTTCATATGTTTGAAGTATTTCGTAATACTTTCACTGATTTCAGTCACCACTCGCCGGTCCTCCTCCTCATCTACCATAACGTCATAATGTAATGAAAAACCTTTAAGTTTAGGCAATCCATGAGATAATTGTCTCATATGTTTGGGTATTAATGCAATCAATTCTCCGTAACAGTAATAATACATAAGTTTTAATTCAATTAATGCCGACATTTGCAACAAACCAGTGATTAGTATATTAAGTGCTTTTACATCACAGTATTCATCGATCCAAACGGATAAAGATTTTAACGTATTTTTACTATTATTAACAAAAAAGTCGACCAAAAGTGAACCCGAATTGCTATAATCTAGGTAAAATCTTTTCACTTTTCGAGGATTTACTTCATTACCATCAGTAAGTAAGTCAAAGAACGTGTGGTACTCGTAGTTACCATTGGAATTGATTAATTGATTCAAATTGTGGCACCGATTCCCATATGACCTCAAATTCTTTCGCATGAATTCCGGCATATCTGTCAACTCTAGTCGTGTCAACTGTTTGGCAAACTTCGCGAAAAACCTATCGATTGTATCGACACTTATATTTCTGTCGAGTTTAACGTTAACTTCAGTCAATCGGTTGCAATGTTTCACAATTGAGTCCAACATATCTGATGTCAGCTTATGTTTCGTGACTTCAATGGATGTAATGTTTTGGCATTTTTGAAGTTTTTGGTCAAATATTTGGGTTCCGATAGACTTTACGTACATTTTTAGTTGAGTATACATTCTGTCTGTTATTATGAGTTCCGTTTGTGTGTTGAATATCAATCTCTTTGACTGTTTGGACAGACATTCATATCTAAATCGGTCCTCAAATGATAGGTAACTCAATAAGACTTCATACAAATCATCACCAAAACGGTCCAAAGAGTCTTTACTATACATTTCACTCATTGTTTAAATGTAATAAATTTTAACTAATTAATAAACAATTTTTCATTCAATCACTTGTAGCACTAGGTGTTTAAACTGGATTCAAGTACAATATTTACAAGCAATATTATTAACTAGCAAAGATTAATATAAAACATATAAACATTTTTTAGTATCATAATCATTAGAAGTGAAATATTGGATGATTTCACTGAAATTATGTAATAAATGTTTGGAAATAAATTGATAATAGTTTCCATGTCTATATAAATCATGCGCTGTTTATTACCGCAGTGTAGGTACAGGTATGGCACAGGTATGTGAGTTACATAATTCCTAAATCATATACTGGTATAAACATGTAATGTCTAAACATTATCGTATAAAAACATAGAAATCTAATATTAATGCATACAGTATGCCAATAGTTTTAAAATCGATCTGGTACATCAATTGCTACAATTTTTGAACACATTGTCATTAATTCATTGATAAATATTTGCTCACATTTTACATCTCCTCTGAGTTTAATGTATTGTATTTTCGGAAGTATTGATAACGAAGTCAATAAACTTTCCGTAATATCTATATCTCTAGCGAGTGATATGTATTGAAGTTTTGACTTTTTATGAGCGAAACTCAATTTATCGACCCTTTCGTACAAATCCATACAATACAGAGAATCCAGTGTTAAATGTGTTAATGTATGGCATCTATTCAGCAATCTATTCATTAAAGCTAACTCTACGGGGAAACTACCGCTGATTTCCAAGCGTTTAATATGCATAAAGTTGTTGCAAATTGTTTTCATTAACGGCTCGTGTGATCGCAAATCCACAGCCAATGATAGTCTCTTGAGTTTTGTACAATTAATGCCGATTTCACTCATTTGATTCACTACTATATTACTCATTAGCGCTGATTTAGTGGTGATCTTCAGGTCAATCAAAGCCCGCATTTGCGACAAACCATTCATGAGTATAATGCCCGCGATTTCCTGGCCCTCATCCCAGAGCGCAGTTTTCACTGAAATTGATTTCAACTGACTTTTGTAGCACTTGACAAATGACCCGAAGTGAGCCATGTCATCGTCCGATATGTAAGACATGTATGTAAACGCCAAACTTTGCAACTTTTGAAACAATGGCTCATTTTGATCGGCACTTAATACGCGCGACAATGAGTTATCAAAAATCTCGAGTTGTGTTAAATTAACGCAACGTTTAATGCTATCGAGTGTACGCTTATAGTTTGTATGGTCTCCTTGAATATGTAAGTCCTGTAAGTCATTAAAACTGATTGCTTTCAATTGTGTGTCAAACTTATCCAGCACTGAGGCCCACGAGTCGGCGCTTATGCTATTGGGATAACCGATACGAATGGCATTCAAGTGATTGTAATGTTTAATGATTGCCTCAAACATGCCATACATGTAACCAATTGTTTCGATTGATTGACAATTAGTGCACTTTTGTAGTATGGATTCAAATGTTGAGAATTTTATGTTTAATTTTACAATGAGTTCCGATTGTGTGGTGAATATAAATCTCTGGCACTGTTTGGACAGACATTCATATCTGAATCGGTCCTCAAAAACTTTTGTAGTATGGATTCAAATGTTGAGAATTTTATGTTTAATTTTACAATGAGTTCCGATTGTGTGGTGAATATAAATCTCTGGCACTGTTTGGACAGACATTCATATCTGAATCGGTCCTCAAACGATAGATAACTCAATAGGAGTTCACATAAATCATCACCGAATCTATCAAATGAGTCTTTATTATATATTTCACTCATTGTTTAAATTTTTAGTTTTAGTTTATCAAGTACAATTTGAAGTTCATTAAATACAGATAGATTGTACGAATACTTTACAGCACTGGCTTTTAAACACAAACTAAAGTTACAGTAATTAATAATTTAATATTGTTAACAACTAATATAAAGTATAAATGTTTTCAAATAATTAAATTATTAGTAGAAAATATAATTTCACTAAACAATTGTAATAATAGTTATGTAATAAAAGGAAATGTGATGTATTTGTCACGTCTATATAAAATAATCACTGTTAATAACACAGATATGTCAACACAGTATACGTAATCAAGTACAGGTTTGGCGCAGGTATGTTAGTTACATAAGTCTGTTATCACTACTATATAGCTAAACACTACAGCATTAATTCAATGACTTTATTAGACATTGAAACCTAATAGTAATTCCTGTCATTAGTTTACAAATCATCTCTTATATCAAATGTTTCAAGTTTTGGTCACATTTTCTACTATGTGTTCAATGAATTTCAATTTCGGCAGTTTTGACAATGAATTCAATATACAATTTGTTATATCAGTATTTATTATCAATTAGTATACTACTGTATAATAATTCATTATTTGCATATAAATAAATATTTAGTTGTGTTAACACCTGTATTAAAATACTTTGTTAAACATATTAATGCTCCAGCTCATTAAAATTACTGTAAATTCTATGAAACATTATTTTCTGTATTAAAATTGAAATTCATTAACTTTTCTCATATGAATCGATTTAATTTTGGGATATATTTCCAGTAATATACTTGTATTGACATCCTGGTCCCACATTTTAGTGGTCACGAGTTGAATATATTGTATTTTTGGCATTTTATACGCAAACCCTACTTCACAACTACTTTCATTCAAAACCATACCACCGCTTGAATTGAGTTTTAAATGCGTTAATCCATTGCATTGATTGACTATAGCGTGGATTAATGCAAACTCTATGAGAACAGTACCACTGATTTCCAAGCGTTTAATATGCATAAAGTTGCCGTAAATTGTTGTCATTAACTGCTCGTGTGATCGCAAATACACACCTATTGACAGTCTTTTAAGTTTTGTACAATTAATGCTAATATCGCTCAATTGATTCACGATTAGCTTGCTCATTTCTGGGCAATAAGTAGCAATTTGCAAGTCAACCAATGCCCGCATTTGCGATAAACCACTCATCAGTATAAGAGCCGCTATTTCTAAGCCCTCAGACGAGCGCCGCAGCGAAGGTTTCACTGAAATTGATTTCAACTGAGTTTTGTAGCAATTGACAAATGAGCCAAAATGATCCAGGTCCGCCTCGCTTGTATAGGTAAACGCAAAACGCTGTAACATCTGAAGCAAACCCACAGTTTTATCACTACTTAATACGTACGGCAAACAGTTAGCCGGGATCTCTAGTTGGGTTAAATTCACGCAACGGTTAATGGTATGGATTATATGCTTAATGTATGTCGTAAACCCTCGGACATGATGTAATTCATGAAAATTAATTGCTTTCAATTGTGTGTCAAACTTATCCAGCACTGAGGTCCACGTGTCGGCGCTTATGTTATTGGGATAACCGATACGAATGGCATTCAAATGATTGTAATGTTTAAT